AAATGCGAGGCGCTTGTTTTGCCTCTGATTCACAACAGGAATCACTGTGGATTGTAGCCATCGTCATCCTACTACGGTATGCTGTCCGTTTACGCTTCAGCAACCAGAGGTCCAGAGCGAGGGATGTGGCCTTCGATCTCTTCCGTTCTCCTTTCTCATCTTCATCCGTCCTCCTCCTCCATCCTTCCGTCTCTTCCTCTCTCTCACTGTCCCTTCACTCCGATGCTTCCGCAACCAGACCAACTTCACTGACTCAGAGTTCACTCTACTGGTCTGAGTCGTGTCCATGCCTCAGGCTGGTCCTTGTCTTTTTGGGGAATCTGCTTAGTGTCACCGAACAAGAGAATCTGCCTAGTGTTCAATTTTCTACGAGCTGAACGCCCTCGGGGGACTTCGCGTTATTTCTTATCTTCCTCCCCTCCCTTTCCTCTTTTCTGAATGAATGGCTATAAGTGGTTTTCTTTTGGCTTACATGTTGCTTGGGGTATTTATCTCTTCTGACAGTTTGTTTCGTGTTCCGTGACTTCGGTCCATGATGAGCTACGTCGCTCCCTGAGCAGGAGAGGCGAGCAGAGGCGAGGAGACGTCAGGCTGACACCTTTCCAACTATATCGATAGGACCAGCTCTACCATACTTACTGTCTAATATGGGCCTCGCTGCACTACTCTCGAAATGTGCAAAACGAGAGTGAATCTTCCGCTAGAATATGGGAAGATGCACGGCCATGATTTTTGTCTTTTGTGCATGTGGAGAGTAGTGCAGCGAGCCCGCATAAGGATAAGGATAAGGATAAGCATGTAGTCGTAATGGGCCTCGCAGGTACACGACTAACCAAATGTGCAAAATGAGAATGAACCTTCCTATAGAACATGGAAAGAGAGATACACAGCCAATTTTTTTTTTTCTGTCTTTTATGGAATTCAATGCGGAGTGTAGTGGAGCCAGGCTGTATATATCGTTGTGATGGTGGTTGAGTATTGGTGGCGATGATATTGGAATCAGATGTAAGTGTTCGTTCGCTCATTCTGAAAATAGGGTGGCCTCTGGTTTCCCCCATAGGCACAATCGCCTTTCACTCCTTGTAGGAAGGTTCTCGAAGTACCCAAAAAAAAAAAAGAAAAAAAAAAAAAGAAAGAAAGAAACTTCTTGAAGTACGCTGAGGAGAGGTCCATGAACTTCCATAGATTTTCCTGAACTTTCATAGATTGTTCTGAACTATTTCTGAACCGAAGCAGCTGGGTTATGGGTTTCGTATCCCCAAATGAACCATCAAATCCTCATCGTGAAAAAAAAGAAAAAAGAAAAAAGAAAAGGCATCAGAACTCTCTCTCAAAAAAAACAAAAACAAAAAAAAAAGGCATCAGAAGTCTCTGGAAAAAAAAAAAAGGTAAAAAAAAAAGGTAAGAAAAAAAGGTTGTTGCAGTAGGGCTGGATATGCTCGTCTGGATTGGTGCTTGTTTCTTTATTCTATGTTCTTTCCCCTTTTTGGTTTTGGTTGTTTGTGCTCTCCCGTGGCGCATGCATGCATTCTTGGGAAATGTAGGCCACATACTACATGTGCACTGAGCGACTGTCGTCAACCAAATAGAACGCCCAGTCATTATAGATGGTGGAACTTTCGGTGTTCATAGACCGATTATAATGACCGGACGTGGAACTTATGATCGTCAAGTTAGCATAAGAACTTATTCGGGCATGCTGACACGTTAGCAGAAGAATTGAACTTCAAACATAAACTAATGCAGTTCAAGACGAGGCTTTCAAAGTGCCCTCTGTCATGCTCCTAAGTTCTGGACTCTATCACCTACGTCCAACCCCTCCCCTTCTCCTTTCTCCCCATGTTTCTCTTCTCTCCCCTCTCTACCTTCCTTTCTCGTTTTCTTTATTCAGGTTTCTTCCATTCTTTCCTCTTGTCTTTTTCTCCTGAAATCTTCTATACCCTATTCCCAGGCGTGCCCATAAGTCCTAGTTAATATACTTGTACAAATGGAATGGACTGAGGTCATTTAATTTACATGAATGTTCTATTTTGTAACCTTTTGGCTATGAGTACGTCAGATTTTTGGCTTAATTTCAGTTGGTGCATTAAGGTATGCAATGGATCACTCCAAAAGGGATGTTATTGCTACTAGATGAAAGTGGAATGAATATAACACATTCTGATGACTAGATACATAGTTCGGACTGATTTTTGCAGCAAGGTACACAGTTCAAGATGTCTACTGTGAGTGTGGCTGAAGTTCTACGAGAGTCTGGTAGTGTGCCAGAATGGATTCCCGAGTGTGAGCATACTCACACTAGGACTTTTTTCCCTTTTTTTGACGTAATTTGGATCAGATACATCCAGCACGAACGGTAAATGCGGTCGGATACATTTAAGACAGAGCTAGTGTGAGTACGCCCTGTGAGGCTGTGAGGGATTAGACAATCTACCGTTTCTCATTTCCAATTTCTGTGTTTACAGAGCACACGCACGCCAGAACTTTCGTGCATGTATATGACCGAAACTGCCGCTTCTGCTGCTTGCATCCGACCCCAATTAGGGCAAGAGAGGAGTCAAAGGAGTCCTAGTGTGAGCAGGTCCCCGGAGTTTCACAAGAGCTGTGTTACCGCGCAGTCATTGAACGCAAAACTGAACGCGCTGAACGCGCGTTCGCTGAACGCCGGTAACCACGATTGACGCGTTTGCGCAGGGGCATGCGCGGGGTGGCGGGCGGCCCCGCGGGGACTGGCGGCGGTGTTCGAAAGCCTGTGGTGGGGGTCCAGGCTCCAGCATGCCCTAAAACAAAAAAAAACAAAAAAAAGAAGAAAAAAAAAAAAAGAAGAAGAAAAAAAAAAAGGGTACTTGCCCGTGCGTCGCGTTGCTGGGCTACATAAGTAGCAGCACCGTTCGCACGGGGCTAACTTCCGTGCTGCGCGTTCGAGCGGAGAGCGCTGCCAACTCCGTTGCTATGGTCGGCATGCGTTCCACAAACGCGGAGAGGCAAAGGAGAGAGAGAGAGAGACAGAGAGAGAGAGAGAGAGAGAGAGAGAGAGAGAGAGAGAGAGAGAGAGAGAGAGAGAGAGAGAGAGAGAGAGAG